GAAAAATGTCCTCTTATAGAGGTCGTGGTAAACTCCATAGGGTTCTAAGATTCACATGTATGCCCAGCAGGTGAAGAAGTAATTGGTCACTGCTCCTCAAAGACCACTGCCAGCCATTTTTATCATGCACCTTTCTGAAGAGCTTCCATAAATTTGTCTCGGCATCAAATAGGGATTTCATTATGTCGTGTGATTTTTTTTTTTCTTTTAATCCTAAAGAATCGATTGTGTTTTCAAGGCTGTGTTTTCTGGGACTCTCCATCTCTCTAAATTCCATTCCCTTGCTCTCTGTGCCTTAGCTAGTGAAATGTAACTCTTGTCAATCCCATCCCCTCCCGCTCACGTTTCTGCACAACCCACGGTAAAAGCGAGTTCATCTGGAGCTGCTTTAGTCATAACCACAGCCTTCCCTTCTCACTCCTTCAAATCTCACACCAAGATTTGTGACTTCACCCAGTTGGTAGCTGTGGTTGATTAAGGCAGATAAGTATTGATAATTAATATTAATTGGTTTCTAAAATACTTTTTTTTCTTCAGTTTGAATGGAAGCTCAGCATTTTGTTAGAATGCAGTATTTTGCCTCCTTCCACAGCATGCAAATTTGATTGATAAAAAGCACTCCGTTTTCTACACTTTAGAACTTGTGATCCAGCTGCCCAGTTTCTTCCAATCCCAGCTCAGTTTAATATGTTAGCTAAAAGTATAATAAATTCTGAGCTGTGATAAGATGATTCTTTCTGACATGAGTTTTCTGAAAAAAGAAATAGTATATCCAGCCAACACTAGGGAAGAGGTTCAGACATGCACATTTACTGCCTGTGTAAATATATACACACAGCTCATCTCACACTAGTTATGTGACTTTAGGCAATTTACCTGATCTCCTTAAATTTCATTTTCCTCATTGAAGAAGTGGCTATTAATATTTGTTCTGTCTTCTTGACAGGATTGTTATAAAATCAAATGAGAAAGTACTTGTTTGTCCAAGTACAAAACAAATGTAAATATACTCAAATTAAAATGCAGTGAAAGTCTCAAATATTTCAAATATCCAAGGTGACATGGAGAAATGACGTTAGGATAGAGGAGCGCATGAGAGTTGTGTGTATCGTGATCTGGCTTTTCCCATCTTATTAAACAGGGTGCATTAGCTCAGGAGAACTTTCTTTAGCTTGGAAGTACTTTTATTTTACCAGCTTTATTGAGACACATACCATGCACTTCACCAAGTGAAGTTGCACAATTCACTGTTTTTAATGTATTCACAGAATTGTTTGATCCTCACAATCAATTTTAGAACACTTACATCAATCCCCCCAAAATTCCCAAACTCATTAACAGTCACTCCCCATTTCCCCCAAACCCTCCAGTACTAGGCAACCACTAATCTACTTTCTGTCTCTATACATGTACCTATTATGGACATTTCATATAAATAGAATCATATCCAACATGTGGTATTTTTTGACTGGCTTCTTTCACTTAGCATAATGTTCCCCAGGTTCATTTATGTTTTAGTATATATCAGAATTTCATTCCTTTTTTATGGCCAAGAAATATTTCATTACATGGATATACCACATTTTGTTTATTCATACATCAGTTGATAGACGTTTAGGTTGTTTCCGTTTTTTTGGTTATTATGAATAGCACTGCTATAAACATTTGTGTACAAGTTTTTATGTGAATAGATGTTTTCATTTCTCTTGGATAAGGTTATACCTAAGAGTAGAATTGCTGGATCCTCCGGTAACTCTGTGGTTCATTACATCCTCACCAGCGATGTATGAGAGTTTCAGTTTCTCCACATCCTTGTCAGCATTTGTTATTATCTATATGTTTTTCATTTTAGCCATCCTAGGATATGAAGTGATGTCTCATTGTGGCTTTGATTTGTATTCCCTTAATAAGTAATGATGTTAAGCATCTTTTCATCTGCTTCTTGGTCATTTCTGTATCTTATTTGGAGAAATTGCTATTCAAATATTTGCTATTTTTCAACTGGGTTGTTTTTGTTGTTGTTCTTTATATATTCTGATACAAGTCCTTTATCAGATATTTACAAATATTTTTTAATCTTTGGGTTATCTTTCTTTATGGTGTTCTTTGAGGCACAGAAGTAGATGAACTCCAGTTTAACTATTTTTTCTTCTGTTGCTTATGCTTTTGGTGTCATATCTAAGAAACCATTGCCTAGTTACAAAGTCTCAAAGATATTTACTCCTGTTATCTTCTAAGAGCTCTATAGTTGTAGCTATTACGTTTAGATCATAGCTCTGTAATTCATTTTGAGTTATTTTTTGTATATGGTATGATAGTGATCCATTCTTATTCTTTTGCATGTGGATATCCAGTTGCTCCAGCACCATTTGTTGAAAAGACTATTCTTTGCCTCAATGAATTATCCTGGCACCCTGTTAAAAATCACTAAATATGAGAGTTTGTTTCTGAACTCTTAATCAATTGCACTGAACTGTATATTTATCCTGATGTCAGTACTACAGTGTCTTGATTACTGTAGCATTGTAGTATGTCTTGAAATAAGAAAGTGTGAGTCCTCTAGCTTTGTTCTTCTTTTCAAGGTTGTTTTGGCAATTCTGGGTTCCTCACATTTCCATATGAGTTTTAGGATTGGCTTGTCAGTTTTTACAAAAGAACCAAGTAGGATTTTGATAGAGATTGCAATGAGAATGTAGATCAATTTGGGGAATATTTTCACCTTAACAATATTATCTTTCAGTCCATGAACATGGAATATATTTTCATTTATCTAGGCCTTCTTTACTTTTTTGAACAATGCTTTTTAGTTTTTAAAGTACAAGTTTTGTGCTTCATTTATTAAATTTATTACTAAATATTTTATTCTTTTTAATGCTACTGTGAATGGAATTTTTTTAAACTTCATTTTCAGATTGTTCTTTGATAGTGTGTAGATATACAATTTATTTGAGTTGCAGTTGTACCCTGAAATCTTGCCAAACTTTTTGTTCACTAGTTTTTTAGTAGATTCTTTAGAATCTTTTAAAATTCAAGATCATGTCATCTGCAAGTAGAGAGAGTTTTCCTACTTACTTTCTCATATGCATGATTTTTTTTTTAAATTTATTTATTTTGGGGTGTGTTGGGTCTTTGTTGCTGCACACAGGCTTTCTCTAGTTGCAGTGAGCAGGGGCTACTCTTTTTTTTTTTTTTGCGGTGCGTGGGCCTCTCACTGTTGTGGCCTCTCCCGTTGCAGAGCACAGGCTCCGGACGCGCAGGCTCAGCGGCCATGGCTCACGGGCCCAGCCGCTCCGCGGCATGTGGGATCTTCCCAGACCGGGGCATGAACCCGTGTCCCCTGCATCGGCAGGCGGACTCTCAACCACTGCACCACCAGGGAAGCCCAGGGGCTACTCTTCATTGCGGTGCAAGGGCTTCTCATTGCGGTGGCTTCTTTTGTTGCAGAGCACGGGCCCTAGGAGCATGGGCTTCAGTAGTTGTGGCTCGCGGGCTCTAGAGCGCAGGCTCAGTAGTTGTGGCGCACAGGCTTAGTTGCTCCGCGGCATATGGGCTCTTCCTGGACCAGGGATCGAACCCATGTCCCCTGCATTGGCAGACAGATTCTTAACCACTGCCTCACCAGGGAAGCCCATGTGCTTTTTATGTCTTTTTGTTGTCTAAGTGCCCTGGCTGGAGCCTCCAGTACAAAGTTGAATCGAAGTGGTGAGAGTGAACATCGTTGTCTTATTCCTGATTTAAAGGGAAAAGCATTCACCCTTTCACTATTAAGTATGATGCTAGCTGTGGGTTTTTCATAGATGCCACTTATCAAGCTGCTGTTTAACAACTTCCACTCCTAAGTTATTGAACGTTTTTATCATGAAAGGGTGTTGAATTCTGTCAAATATCTTTTCTCTGTCTACTGAGATGATCCTGTGTTTTTTTTCCTTTATTCTATAGACATGCTGTATTACATTAATTGATTTTCGGATGTTAAACCAACCTTGCATTCTTGGAATAAATCCCACTTGGTATATAATCTTTTTTATATGTTGCTGGATTCAGTCAGCTAGTATTTTTTTTTTTTGAGGGTTTTTTATCTCTGTGTTTATAAGAGATAGTTTTCTTTTTCTTGTGATGTCTTTGTCTGGTGGGAGTTCTTTTAAGTCAACCAAAATTAGAGTTAAGAAATGGATTTAGTGAGAGTGTTTTAGGGCAGAGAAACAATTTAAAATCATTGGTGTCATTATGAGAATTGTTAAGTGCAGGGCTTTGAGTCCTTAGCAGAACATAGCCTTGAAACACAATGGAAGGAGTACAAGGTTTTAGTTGAAGAGCTACTATTTTTGCTTCTATCATTTGCTAAATGTGTGACTTTGAGCAAATTACCCAGGATTTCCTCACTTCTGCCCTCAGGATAAGTATTTCTACATCAGACCTTTGTTACTGGGATTAAGTGAGGTAATGCATGTAGAAAGTGTTTTTTTTTTAAGGCCAAGCACTATTATAATTACAGATTGTTAAACAGGATAGAAAAAAGAATTTAGGGGAAAACACTGGAGAAACAGAAGAACATAACCTCTTAAAAGGCCTAAATAAATTTTTTGAGGCAGAACAAAACCTAATGTGGAGGCAGGATCATTTACTTGAGGGTAGAGAATGATTTAACAAAACAAACGTTTTGTTTAACAAAAAATCTTTTTAAAGCACAAATCAGAAATGTGTTTCATGGTCACATGATTACTTTTATTTGGGATAAGGGGACCCCAGTATAGATTTTACTAAGAGGAATTTCGATTCCTTGATATAATGAGAATAGTGATGTGTTTTATTTATTTTATTCTACTTTACTTTGCATTGCTTTGTTGCTTCTGTTGTAAAAAATTATATGGAGTGTAGTAAATTTCCATCAAATTTTAACCTGCTGTCAGACAGTATTTTCTAGAGGCTGTTTGAAAAATATGGAAGGACACCACTCAGAAATGACTTTGAATCTGCCATGTTTGTTTTGACTCCTTTAGAAACAAAGCCAGCCTGTGTATTCAACAATGTGGAGTATAGCGATGGGGATATGTTTCGAATGGACAACTGTCGGTTCTGTCGATGCCAAGGGGGTGTTTCCATCTGCTTCGCCGCCCAGTGTGGTGAGCTGAACTGCGAGAGATACTATGTGCCCGAAGGGGAGTGCTGCCCTGTGTGTGAAGGTAAGGACAGGTGCCAATCGGAGAATAATAAGAGACATGGTTTAGGGACTTAATATCACAGTTGACCTACTTCAGTCTCACTCCAAAATAGAGGAAGATTGAAGAAGTTCCCGTGTTTTGTCACCGTGGTGCACCTTTAGGACTTCGATAACGCTAGGTAGACTGTGTGAAACTGAGGGAAGTTACGCCCTGGGTGTAGACAGCGGTCACGTGTTTCCACAGATGGCCATGACGTTTCCCGGAGGTGCTTTCTGTTCCTCCTCTGTGGTTCCAGCAGTTCCTTGGCAAGTCCTGGGACTTTCTCTCCATCCTGACATCAGAATTCCACCCACCCTGCTCCCCTCAGATTGCTCAGCTAGGACAGGGCCGCCCTAGTCACTGACCACCTTAGCCAGTCAGCTCAGAGAGGAACCAACCCTGCTTCCTTTCCGATACCCATGCCTGTCCAGGTGAGAGCAGGGCTCCCCATCCTTTGAAAATGTGTGGTGGTGAGAGTGGGGTCATGGTGTGGCATGGTGGTGACACCAGGGCAAGGCTCAGACAAGTGTCCACTGTGGCCCAGGGTAGAAGGATCTCCAGGGCCTGCTTTCTCTTTATTCCCCTTTTCCCTCCAAGAAATAATAGGTCCGTGTTCCTCCAACAGGCTCGACCCTCCTGTCTCTCCTATGCAGAAATAATAAACATTTCAGAATGATAACTCTGAATATCATGTACTACAATCCACACATTTTAAGGATCAGGATAATCAGAAAAGTAATCACTTGTCTGAGTTTCCAGTGAAGCCAGGAACAGTGGGTGCCTGACTGTGGTCTAACTGCACTACACTGTTTCCCCAGAAAGGAGGATCACGTGAGCTTTCTTGTCCTGCCCGGACCACAGACCTTCAGTCTGGAGTCAGGCACATCCGTCTCATGTCTTGACACTCACCCTGCCCTTACCTCCACATGTGAAATGGGAGGACAGAATTTCATGCCATGTTCCATAACTTTTTCTGTTTTCTAAATCCATTTCTTTTCAATATTTGAGCTCTGTTTACCACATAATACTGAAGATATGAAATTGCTTAGAGTATGCAAACTACATTCCTAACATTGAACAGTGGTTCATAACAGGGAGGCCATCTTCCCTGTTAGAAATTATTTTTGCTAACATAGGAGAAAGGTAGTTCACTTTTTAGGTGTCATCAGGGATTTTAAGAAAGTCACAACTTTTAACCTTCCCAATTGATTTGTTCCCTAGCTACTACCCCCGGTGTGTAATAGTCTCTGAAACTATGTAGCAGTTGGTCATGTAAAAACACAGATATGGACCTCTGTGTAATAATCATAATGAGTTGTCTGGGCATAGATCCGGTTATGTCTCACTTCCTGGAATTCAGATCCAGGCTCAAAGTAGAAATGAAGTATGCAGTGTAATATTTTTTATAAAGAAATTTTATAAAGTCTTATCTAACTCAGGTCTCTTGGCTGCTTACATCTCTGGCAGACTGCCCTTCTGAAGCTGTGACTGCGTGGTTTTCAGTTTTGGCCTTCTAACTCTCTTGTAATGCCCTACTACCTCTTTGGAATAAAGAGGATCAAACTCGGAACTGCCTGGACTTTGCTTCCAGCACAGCGGCACTTGCTTCTTGAGGCCAGATTTTATGTTTCTGAAAAAGAACATTGAGTGATTTATCTAGTTGCTTTCATTTATAAGGATATTTGGAGATTTTTTATTTATGTGCTTGTCAGCAACCTCAGAAAACTTTTTTACACTATCCTTGGCTACCTACGTTCCCCAGCCTCAGCTGCTGCTTGACTGCTCAGCTTGGGGGAGAAAAATGGCGTAGGTTCACAGCTTTCCCTCCAGGGCACAAGCAGTGCCATGAATGGTTTAGAGAAGCTGTGTGAGTCCTGTCCTGAATAAGACCACAGCAGGGAACTGTATACACCTCACTGTGCCTCCAGGCACCGTGAGATAGACTTCAGTTAGTCCTGGAAATAACAGGCTCACTATAAGTTAGATGGGGCATTATTCTTTCCACTTTACAGGAGGTAAAACGGAGGTGTAATAAACATTTAAGTTGACAACTCAGAAGGCATCATCAGAGCCTAAAATGGATCAGCATTTTTTTCTCACGACCAGCCCACAGCTCCGTCCACGAAGTTTTGCACCTTTATGAAATGATAACACCTGCACATTGGTTTTTATGCCTCAGATCCCCTGCCCTGTGTGCCGTGTCAGGATGGGTGGACAGAAATTCAGCATGACAGCTGCTTTTGCATGTCCCCCTAGAGACACCTCCTGTGGCCCTGAGCTTCTGCTGAGCACAGCTGGAAAAGAACTGCTGATGACGAGAACCTGGGAAAAAAATGTCTCTAGGTGCAGGCAGAGATAAGATGTAGAATGCCCTCAGTCTTACTCTGAACTCACGTTTTAATTTAGATCCCGTGTATCCTTTCAATAATCCCGCTGGCTGCTATGCCAATGGTCAGATCCGTGCCCACGGGGACCGGTGGCGGGAGGACGACTGCACGTTCTGCCAGTGCATCAACGGAGAACCCCACTGTGTCGCGACAGCCTGCGGACAGAGCTGCATGAACCCCGTCAAAGTGCCTGGGGAGTGTTGCCCTGTGTGTGAAGGTAACCCTTGTAGATTCTAACGAGCCCCTGGCGAATATCTCGTGTTGGATAAGCTTCTACCAGTATGTGCTTGCTTGTTTTCTGTTTCCTCAGGCATAATGTCTGCTTCATGCTGTTACCAGTTGCAGATGAATTTATTATACAGCCCAAACTAATCATTTGGGGGAAATGTTACACATTTACAGTGAGAATAGTGTGGTCTTTATTTTGCCACTGCAGATAATGCTTATCTGAATACTTTACAGTCAAGGAATATATACATTTTAATTCAGTTCACCGCAAGCCTGATTAACATCCAAAGGTCAACACAATGAAATGAAATGAAATTGGAAATAAGACCCATGACTCAAAGCATAGCTTGTTCAACTTGTAATGCTTACATAAGCCCAAGAGTCCTGGCAGCTAGAAGAAAAGCCTGGAGCCATCAAAGCTGGTTTTCACTGCCTGGAGTCCTCACCCTGAGCATCCATTCTGCTTCTAATATCACGATGGCTGTGGCTTTGCAGTTCCTTTTGGGCTTTTTCTTATGTCTTGGTTACCTGCATTCACTACCTCTCTTCCTGTTTAATGGAGAGAGCCTGAGATATCCTGGACTAGTCTTTCCATCCCAACCACTATTCCAGTCCATTTCCCCCATCCTGGGAAGATTCTTTGCACACTTACTCAAGTCAGCCTTAATCCTTGGTCCATGTCTGTTAGTACAGACAAGAGATTGAATATCTATACTGACAGTTCCAACAGAAAGTGTCCGTCATTAAGAAGCACATTTGCATAGTGAAATGAACTAAAGTGGGTCAAAAATTAGTCCTTGTGGAAGATGGATCCTTCTAGAATTTTTTAAAACAGCTATTAAGGAACTGACAGGTCTTTTCAGAAATTCAGTCAAGTGGACTGAGTCCTCTGTCAAGAAGTCTTTTTGCTTCTACCAAAATTTTAATCAACTCAGACTTCAGAGTTTGCCTGACTGGCTTCATTAACTTCTGAGGGGTTAGAATTATTAAAGACCTTAAAAATCATATAAAAATTTAAGCTGGAGGATTCTGGTTCTATTGACATCACCAATTCCCTCACCATTACTCTACTCAGAATGCAGCTGCCACACTCCAAAACTTTATAGCTTCCAGATGACCAATTTTGTGGAAATCACCCACCCACCTCGCACATACACTCCTCCTATCCCCTGAAGGCAGCGTTTCAGTGCTGGAAAAAGGAGTGTGCAATAATATGTTTGATGATGTACGGTCAGCTTTACAAGGAAAGATGCCCTCTGAAGCAGATAAAGATGGGAATATCTATCCCTAGGAATTAGGGGCAATCTGTTATAGGTTTGAAGTATTTAAGTATATGTATATGCATGATAATGTAAGAAAAATTAAAAACATATATATATATAATCCAGTAAACAGTAACCCTTTAACTTCATGAGTCTTGAGTCTAGATTGAAAATAAGACTTTGAAAAACTTGTTAAAAAAAAAGTAGGGGGCTTCCCTGGTGGCGCAGTGGTTGAGAGTCCGCCTGCCGATGCAGGGGACACGGGTTCATGCCCCGGTCCGGGAAGATCCCACATGCTGCAGAGCGGCTGGGCCCGTGAGCCGTGGCCGCTGAGCCTGCGCGTCCGGAGCCTGTGCTCCACAACGGGAGAGGCCACAACAGTGAGAGGCCCGCGTACCACAAAAAGAAAAAAAAAAAAGTAGGGCCTTTTTTCTAAAACTAAGAAAGGCAAATCCTTTGCCCTCATCTTTGGCCGTCATTAGCATTTCCATCGTGGTGAGTAGAGAAGGGAAGCAGTTGGTGAATAGACAAAAATATATATTATATGTATGAGAAACTGATTTATTCTTATGTCATATGGATGTTTGGGTAGGAAGTAGATGTTAGTTTGATCACTTAGAGTTTGGTCTCTGCAACAGCTGGGTCACGTTGTAATCTTATCTTCCACTGTTTGAGAAAAGAGTGACAGTTTGGGTCAGCCATTAATTCCAACAAATTTATTAAGAACCTTCTGTAATCCAGATACCACATCGAACACAAAGCTAAATAAGGGATAACTCCTAGTAAACTTCAAAGAAACTGTTTAGGCTGTTTTAAATTAAACCAGGAAAAACAGAATGTCTGCATTCAGGTTCTGTGGGGTAAGTGCTTTTTATTTGTACCTGATTTCATTTAATCTTCACATTAACACTCTGCCAAAGGCCTTATTATACCATTTTAAAGATGAAGAAATTAGGGTTTAGAGAGATGTAGATGGTTTTTCCCAAGGTCAGTTGCCAATATGTGGCTGAGCTGGGATCAACTGAAGTCTGTCAGATTCAACTACATTTTTGTCTGCTTCCTCTGCTCCCAGAGGTCATCTCAGTTTCCACCTGCCCCTATTTCTAGTTCCCTTCTGTCTCTCGGTCCTGTGTTGGGACACACAGGAGTTTGATGACAGGGGAGGAGATCATTTGCAGTTTGACAACTACTCCAGGTGTTTTTGATGTGATCTCCCACCTGCCCTCTCCCCTGAATTTGAGGACCTCGGGGGAAGGATGCCTTTGAGACTCATCCTCGATTTGCTTCTCAAGCCTCACATTCAGGTTGTCTCCTTCACTTCACCAGACTTGGCATCTTTATTCCAAGCTGTTAGGCTCTGCTGGTCTCAGCCTTGCAGAAGGTTCCATTGTTTAGTTCTCAGAGAACTAATTTATCTTCTGTTTCTTGTTTTTGTTTTAAAGTCAGTTAAGTAATAAGTTTCACGTAAAACTGTGTTAACTCTCCAGTGACACCCTCATTTTAAGATGTGTTCAGAAGACCAAAGATTCTTTTGGCATGGGGATAAAAAAAACAATGTACAGCTTAGGGTAATGATCGTAAAAGTTTATTATTATCTATGAATAATATTGTAATAAACTTATTTATTAATAATAATAAACTTACAAAATAATGCAAGGCAAAAAATCTTATTGCTTAGTTTTCAGGATCCAAGAAAGACTCTGGAAGTATTCAAAAATATTTTCCTCAGCAGTCATTCAATAGCCTATTTAAATAGAATTTCAAGTGATTTCCGAAGAGCCAAAGGATTAGACAGAATAAGAAAAAAGCAAGGCATTGTTGTGTAATAAATAATCAGCCAGAATTATTTGGAGGAAACAGAAAGGCTGGTGTTTATGCAGTTTATACACAGTAAATTCCTCTGTGCATAATTGCATGACAAATGTTGGCTCTCACCCTTATTAGCTACAGTCCCAAGGTACATAGTCAGAGTCTGAAATTTGATGAAAGGGACCCCACACAAGGATTGTGGGTTTAGATTCTTCCTAAATAAATTACTGCATCACCAAATATAGTGTGTTTGGACCTTCAGGGAGGAAGAACCTTGTTGTGACTGCTGTTGTTATTAGAGATACATACCTTCCAAATGACAGCATAATGTGCTTGGTTACTCCTGGAGGACTGGGAATGTGAACCTGGGGGCTCTTAAAGACTATGCTGTTACTTGACAGCTAACTCAATTCACAAGTACCTGAGTGCTGTTTAAATTGGCACTTAAGTACTCTCTTGATTAAGTCTTAGCAAGTTAGTGTCAACACCCAATTCAGGTACACAGATAAGCCATCCCAGTCTGTAAGTCTATAACTGATTGTATTCTTATGGTTTGTTCTATTGGCTTTTCTCTACATCTCCTCTTGCTCATCAATTGCATTATTTTTATTTTCTGGCCCTTGTAAAAAGCTAGAATGGAAACACATGGAATAGCAGATAAAGTTTGCAGTTTAAGCATCTGTATGGGAGATATGTCCTTATTTTCTTACAAACTAAAAAGAAAAAAGGAGGGCAGCAGAATTGTCTTCCTCAGTATCTAGCACCATTTGCATCATCTTGTTTGTAGCCCTTAATGAGAGTAGCTGACATTTCTTGCACACTGTGACTGTGAGCCAGGCCTCCGTGCTTTAAGAGCATCAGCCCATTTGATCCTCACAGCTACCCTACTGCCATCCCAATTTATGATCATAGAACCCAAAGTTCAGAAGTCATGTAACTTGCCCAAGGGCCTACAGCTCGGAAGTGGCAGAGCAGTGTATCTCCAGAGCCCTGGCTCTGGACCCCTGCAGGGATACTGCCTCTGAGACAAAGTGCACTTATTGACCAGTAGCTTAAAAGAGGCTACGTCCCCCATGAGCTAGGATTTACCGTATGCTTTTGAATCCCTAAAACAGTACCTGTCATGTAAGTAGGTGCTCAAAAATGGTTAATGAATGGATGATGAGTGAGTGAGTTAGCGAAGGGGGAAAGACTGGGGTAAGACAACAGACCCTGATAGAGGGTTTCCTTAACCAATGCTGTTACAGGGGTCAGATGCTGACCTCTGGTGAACTGAAGAAAGATTAATGTATAAATGCTTCTATTTGAAAATGCACTTTGAGAACAGAAAGCAGAGTGTTATACGAAGTATGTTTGGCACACGGTGGGTTGGACCAGTTAGCTTCAGATTGACTGCTCACCCTCCTTACTGAACACGTAGCTCTCAACTCCCACCCAGGGGCAGCCTTCCAAGACTGGTTTGTAAACTGTGGTTTATCCTCTCTCAGTTCAGCCCCTGAAGTCCAGAATCACAGAATTAAAGTGGGCCTTCTCCAGACCCTCCAAGGCTAATGCTCACTGTCACATTTAATGTACTGCTTTTAAGACCTGCGCTGAGAGTATATAAGTGCCACTGCCTTGTTTTCAACTAGACTTTTTTTTTTTTAATATCACAGTTAGGTATTGAGAATAATTTGCTAGTTGATTTCCCAGTAATGCCAGGTATAAATCCTATCTAAGTTGATTCTTAATGTCAGAGGGACCCTAAGGACAGGGTGCCATTTTCCATGAAAAAAAAATCCGTTTGTTTTATAATTAAAAGTAAGATAAGGGGGCTTCCCTGGTGGCGCAGTGGTTGAGAGTCCGCCTGCCGATGTCGGGGACGCGGGTTCGTGCCCCGGTCCCGGAGGATCCCACATGCCACGGAGCGGCTGGGCCC